ACCTTAAAAAACTGCCGAAAAATCGCCCTGGGCAGTTTCTTGGTCCCATTTTATTTTTTTAAAATTTACGGCAGCATCCGGTACTACCGGCAGTAGTTGATACTTACATATGTCTTGTAGTCAATCTGTTGTCGAATTAGTTTGGCTTCACTTAATGAATATCTAGCTTCATGGGTACAAGCATCAACAGGTCCTTTTTCTATTTGTTGTTTAAGTGCACGGTATAACATGAATAATGGCTCCCCTGCACAGTCTTTAAGGAACCGATATAACATAAATGTTAACCAGTTTGTTAACATCTTTTCTGCCACTGATTCCGTCCTGTAACAATTGCATTTGTTTTGAAATTATCAGCATGTTATGTAATACTGAATCTCCTCATTCTAAATTGTGAAGTATGAACTGTTGCTCTGATGGGTTTAATTATAATGAAATGTTATAAAATATTGACTAGATTTTAAAATTCAATTTTCGTTAGGTCTAAAATAAGCAGTCATTGAAAACAAGCAGCCTCTCGGCTGAGATAGCTCCGCTGTTAGCGATGCACATTTCGATTAAAGAACAGAAGATATGATTAGAAAATGAACAATATGCATAGTATCAATGCAATGGGACTTGCTGTTTTCAACAAGAATTCAAAAATATCATTTTTCACCATAAATGATTGTGGTTTTTAACAAGAAAAAAATATCAATTTTTACCAAAAATGACAAAAATATTCACCAAAATTAGAGAATTAAAGATATCATTACAAAATGAACAAATCTGAGAGAGGTCCACATGTAGTACCTATATATGTATTATCAAAGCAATTGGACTTACAATTTTTAACAAGAAGTCGAAAATATCACTTTTTACCAAAAATGACAAAAATATTCACCAAAATTAGAGAATTGAAGATATCATCACGAAATGAACAAATCTGAGAAAGGTCTACATGTAGTATCTATATATGTAATATCAAAGCAATTGAACTTTTGGTTTTTAACAAGAAGTCGAAAATATCACTTTTTACCAAAAATATTCACCAAAATTAGAGAATTGAAGATATCATCACGAAATGAACAAATCTGAGAGAGGTCCACATGTAGTACCTATATATGTAGTATCAAAGCAATTGGACTTGCGGTTTTTAACAAGAAGTCGAAAATATCACTTTTTACCAAAAATGACAAAAATATTCACCAAAATT